TGTGTGTGTGTGTGTGTGTGTGTGTGTGTGTGTGTGTGTGTGTGTGTGTAAAATTTCTAATTTAAAAAATAAAGAGTGCTTTTAAAATAAATAAGTAAAAACAAAAGTTGGGTCTAAGGACTTAAGTGATCTACCTACTGAAGAATGTTATATTATTTTTAGGTTTTATCAACTTGGGTTTTCACTTATGTGATTCAGCCTATGGCTTGACACGAGAGGCAAGACTTTATTGTTGAATTATATTCCCAGGGTCTCACCAGGCTGGCCTTGAACTCACTCTATAGCCCACGTAGACCTTGAACCTGCAATCCTCCCGCCTCAGCGTCCAGAGTAACTGGGATAACAAACCTGCGTGACTATGCCTGGCTCACACTGTTAACTTGGACTAGCATTTTCATCGTTGATTCTGAACCGGTGGGTCGGCAGTGCTGCCCTCCCCGGACCCAGCTTTCTCTCTGGAAACACTGGCGGGCCCTGGCCCTGGAGGGAACCTGTCAATCCTGTAGCCATTGCTTACCTCAGCCTAAACCTTCCATCCTGGGAGAGCCAGAACGCTGCGTGCTTTGAGCAGATGTGAGTAACCGCTATTGCAACTCCCGAAAGCTCTAGGAAATGCGAAGCACTTGACAGATGGCAAAGAGTCTAAATTCCACGGGAGCGTGTGCCTGAGAAATCTGTGCCCTCTGCTGAACCCATCCAGAAGGGAAAGGGAAAGGCGACATTGCCATAGACAGTGAGAGTCATGACCACAAGGTGGTCTTCATCGCCTAAATGTCCTTTAAACAGCCATCCCATAAACATTCTAAATAAAAAAATAGGTTTAATCTTAATACTCTGTGGACTGAAATTTTACCCTGGTGCCTAGCTGACTTATAATATTTTTAAATTGCTTTGTCCTTATTTCTTCTCTCAAATAATTGCTCAATTCAATAATAAATTCACAAAGTTCCCCAGCAAAAGGTTTTTAAAGAAAATGGCTGATACACATACATACACACACACACACACACACACACACACACACAGACTTTAATAAACTGTTTATCATTTCCAGGAAAGGGGACCAATTTGCACATTTATGACTTAAGATTAGAATCCACTCCACCCAGCAACAGCCCTATTCTATTTTTTTTTTTTTTTTAAGAATCATTTTTAATTTTTTTAAATCATGTTTAGATGTGTGCATGGGCACCACATGCATACAGTACCCAGAGAGGCCAGAAGAGAGCAGCAGACCCTCTGAAACTGTAGTTACAGGTGGTTGTGGGCTGCCATGTGGGTGCTGGGAACTGAACCTGTGTCCTCTGAAAGAGCAACAAGTGCTCTTTGACCTCGGATCTACCTCTCCAGCACCATGAATTATCCTTTTTTTTTGTGGGGGGAGGGATAGGGCTAGTTCAAGATAGGGCTTCTCTGTGTAGCCTTAGCTGTCCTAAACTCACTTTGTAGACCAGGCTGTCCTAGAACTCACAGTGATACACCCATCTCTGCCTCCCAGAGTGCTGGGATTAAAGGCCTGGGTCACTATGCCCTGCTGAATTAAACATTTTCAAAGGGCAGATTTTATGGTGTGTTGAAAGAGACAATTCTGCAGGAAGCCTTCCCAGATGCTGTAGAGGGGGCCAAGTTCCTTTCCCAGGTTGTCATCACCCTGTACTTCTCTGTCAAAGGATCACACCATAATGAGGTAATGCTTTGTGCATTTACATGCCAGAACCTTCTTCCAAATGCCAGTGCTTGGTTCTGACATATGCACAGCTCTGGTTGCCTGGCTGTTGGCTTCAGGAGTGAAAGGGTTTCTGGATGCTAACTGACTTCCCAACACCTGCTACTTACACGGCAAGTTTCAAACTGGGGACAAAATGGCCAAGGTGCCTATTTAGCATATCAAAGGGAAACTGGCTGCCAGGTTCTCCCAGCATCCCTCAGTCCCTACTTATTACAAGGGACTTGGTTGGAATACCCTGCCCCTACCCCCATCCCAACTCTCCAGCCCAGCTGCCCTTTCCCTAGAGACTCTTCCTTGTATAACACAGACAATTGTTGTACCTTTGGTCTCCTGGCTGGTGCACCTGATTCCCCTCTCTCGTGTCTGTCTCCCTTCCCCTCCCTCTTTCCCCACATGGCCCAGCTCAGTCTGGTCATGTCCACTCTTGACTCGCCCAGATGTCCCTGCCTCTGGCTACACTCTCCCACACATCTACAATAAACCTTCTCCTCCACCGTACCTGGGGGCAGTCATTTATTTTTATTTTTCCATTCTACTTACAGCAGGAAGAAAAACAGTCTCTTTCCCTGCTCTTCTCCAGGCACCCATGAAGTCCTTTGAGTCCTTGCTGTGGTTTGGCTGTGAGATGTCCCCAGAAGTTTAAGTGCTGAAGGCTTGTGTGTGTGTGTTTCGGGGTTGTATAGTCTTTGGGTGGTGATGGACTCACGAAAGCACTGATGTCACTCATGAATCCATCTATGTGGATGATTCCTAGTTTCGTGGGTTTGGAGGAGGGCCAAGCCCCTCCACACGCAGGGATCTGAAACCTTCGTCCAAAATTCTGCTTTCCTTTATTGACCTCTCTCAGGTATTTTGTCAGCAATTTTACTTTAGTTTAGTTTTTGTTTGTTTGTTGAGCCAGGATTTCTCTATGGAATCCTGGCTGTCTTGGAACTCACTTTGTAGACCAGGCTGGCCTCCAACTCATGGAGATTTGCCTACGTCTGCCTCCTGAGTGCTGGACTTAAAGGAGTGTACCACCGCTGCCAGGCTTGTCACAGTTGGCTAGTGGGTTAGTTGGTTAGTTGGTTAGTTAGTTAGTTAGTTAGTTCTTATGAAACAACAGTTCTAAACCTGTGAGTCTCAACCTCCTCTGGGGTCGAATGACCCTTTCACAGGGGTCGCCTAAGACTATCAAAAAACACATTTACATTATGATTCATAACAATAGCAAAATTACAGTTATGAAGTAGCAATGAAAATAGTTTGACCGTTGGGAGTCACCACAACATGAGGAACTGTGTTAAAGGGTCGCAGCATTAGGAAGGTTGAGAACCACTGCTCTAGAGCAAAACCCAGAAAACCTGAAATTTTCCCCTTATCGATTCTTTAAAGAGTTTTTCTACCAAAAGGCATGGCAGTTGCAATCAGACCTTAGGAGGGAAACGGCAGAGTTGTGGTGAGAAAAGGGAAAGTGATTCCTGGCTATAAATGAAGTTCTCCCCAGGAGACTTGAGATTATTCCCTTTCTCAGAGGTACTTCCTCTCCAGGTTCAGTGAAAACATGTTTGCTCACTCACCAGCTTGCTGAGTGAAGTAAGAGCAGTTGCCACCCACAGCACAAAGTCCGGCTCTCCCCATAACAATTCTTGTGCAACTCCCTACACCCTAAGTAACCTGACCCTGAGAGTGTGTGTTCCTGAGGGCTGAGAGTACTTGGCACTTGGTAGCATTTTCCAGAAACCCTCAGGGGCACGGCAGACACTGTGATCCCTGGGGAACTCAGCTGGAAGATAGGTGTGGCATGGTATGATTATAAACAAACGTCAGGGAACATTTTGTGGTGGGTGTGGTGGCTCACGCCTACAATCCGAGCACTCAGGACCTAGAGATAGAAGGATCAGAAGTTCAAGGTCTTTCCTAGCGTGGGCCAGACCTATTCCCATTCAAGGTCATCCTCAGCTACATGGTCTCAGTAATAATGATGATGGTAGTGAGTCCAGGATAGCCACGGCTATACAGAGAAACCCTGTCTCAAAAAAGAAAAAAAAAAAAAAATTCAAGTATATTTTTTAGCCGGGCACAGTGGCATACGCCTTTCATCCCAGCACTTAGGAGGCAGAGACAGGCAGCTCTCTGAATTCAAGGCTAGCCTAGTCTACAGAGGGTGTTCTAGGACAGCCAGGGTTAAAAGGAGAAACCCTGTCTTGAAAAACAAAGCATTAACAATCACTTATCGGGGGCTCACTCCGTGACCCCCAGGTTCCATAACATCATGAGGGATGAACGGACCTTTGTTATATCACATTGTGTTTGACTTTGGTACCATCCGACATTACGTGGGACTCATTTACTGCCAATTACTCTGAATCTACAACTCATTCCAGGGCACACCAAAGCCTCCCCTAATCACTTACCATCCCCTTAGGAATGGCATACCAACTCTCAAGCACTCTCCCTCTTGGAAAGGGGCTTACAAACTTCTGGGTTAATAGCAATTACACTTCGTGATAGCCTCCTTGTGCATAATAAATGTGTACTATTTCATTCATCCATGATCAGTTTCCAGAGAATCTTGGACTTTTCCCACCCACAGGGTCAATCGTTAGCTAACAGGTGCTTATTACTGTTCAAATACTAATATTAAATACAATCCCTTCTCACCAAGTGCACAAGACAGCTGGATAACTCTCTCATCAACCTCCTGTGTCCTGAGTCTGCACTGGCCTCAGGACCTGTGCTGTTGATAGCCCTTCCAAACCTGTCCTCCCAGACCTGGGTTGGGACTTTCCCTCCCATCTTTGCTTACATACTAGTTCTGCGGAAAGCACAGCCTGGACCCTGGACCTTGGACCCTGCTGGCAAAGGTTATATTGTTTGTTTTTGGTGTGTGTGGGGGGGTTGCTTTTGAGATAGGATCTCAAGTAGCTGTCTAACTTAGAATGTGATAGTAGCAGAGGATGACCTCGAACTTCTGACCCTCCCGCCTTTGCCTCCCAAATGCTGGGGTTACAGGCATGTACCACCACACCTGGCTTATGCACTGCTTAGCAAATGCTCTGCAGACTTGGCCACACAACCGGCCTGGTTTTGTTTGCTTAACAGCACCAATCACTTTGGAATGATTTACCTATCTGTTTACTCTCCTGACTGGCTTCCGTGGCAAAGAGCTCTGCCCACAGAGAGCCCAAAAGATTAGAGAGAGGGGAACCTCACAAGATCAAAACCCCATCTCTTCTCTAGGAAACTTTAGGAAAGCATCTACCCTCCACTGGTTGTTCACTGTGATCTTGAGAGGAACTACAAGGTTTTTCTAGCTGAAAGCGTCCTGTGAAGGCTAGAGTAGCTTCAACGGCTCTTTCCCGTAATGAAGAAACAGACCCACGGAGGGGGAAGCCATTGGGAAATTACATGAAGCAAGTGGAGGGGGAGAGATAGGCGCGGGTTGGGGGGGACAAGCAAGCACAGCAGACATAAGCGTCTGCCTCCTGCCTCCGGTTGGTAGAGACCAGCCCTGCTTGATCTAGGCAACCAGATGGCCAGAGGTGAATGGACCCGCCTTCCCTGCCTTGTCCTGGCTCCAGGCTTCCGTCCCAGGTAAACACACAAAGCAAAAAGGCCTAATTAAATAAAATAAGCTGAGCGTTCAGAAAATAACCAGATGGAAGGTGCGGACCGGGGACAGCAGCCACAGAACGCGGACCCCGGATCCCCGCACGTGCTGAACCATCCAACGCACCCGGACTCTCTGCAGCCACGTGGGTTCCCCTTTCGCAACACAGGCCACCCTGCCCAAAGCCCACCTCTGCAGCGAGGCCTTTGCTCCGCTGGCCAGGACTGCCCCTTTGCCGCATCCTAGGGCACTCAACAATAGCCAGAGAGGGTAGCAGGCAGCTGGGATCTAAGCTGCAGCCCCTCGCGCAACACCTGCGCCTACGGCCCGGCCGTTTGTGCTCGCGCGGCTCCGGCGCCCGGCCCAACCCGGCATCCCCAGGAGAGGGATACTTAGGACCGGGCAGAGGGATGCTCAGCGCCCCCGCAACATACCGCACGCGCCCAGCCGTGACCGCGTTGCCGGTGTGAGGCCGCAGCACCGCCAGGAACAGGAGCCGCATGTCGCTACCGCCAAGGACTGGGCCACAGGCCCTGGGCGGCGGGGTAGGGGTGGATTCGGTCCCGCCTGCCGCTCCCAGGCGGAGCCTACAGGTTCAGGAGCAGGGAGGGGCAGAGGGAAGGGAAGAGGAGGAAGATGGGGAAGGAAGGAAAGGGAAGGGGAGAGGAGGAGAGGGGAGGGGACAGATAGAAAAGGGAGGGAGGGGAGGGAGGGGGAGGAGAGGAGGGAGGGAAAAGGGAGGGAAAGGAGAGAGGGAGGGCTGGGGACTGGAGGGGACCTTAGGAGACTAGCGGGCGGGAGGGTTCACGAGCCCACGTGTCAGGCAGCCACGAGCTCAGGAAGGGGATGAGGGTGGGGGTGTGTCCACTGTTCTGGGGACCCAGAACACAGGTGGCCCCGGGACTCTTCACATGATGACCATGAGTGGGCTTCCTACATGCAACATAGTAGCTATGAAACTGACACTGCTGCCCCAGAGACTAGGACAAAGTGAGGTGTGGGGTACAAGCCCACACGCAGAAAAGGAATTTGAGTCGCACTCTGCACAAGCTTATATCCTGGACCCTAGGATGTCCTGAACTCTGAAGCCTTAGGGCATAGCATAGGGCATGCAGTTCATGTTTGTTTTTTTTTTTTTTTTTTAGACCCTGGCATCCCTGAACCAAGTTCCCTGAACTTTCGAGGAAAGGGACAAAACCATAATAGAGACAGTTGTAATGGAGTCAGGTTCAGGGGTGCAGGTTTGCAATTCCAGCAATACAGAGACTGAGGCAGGAAGATTAATGGAAGTTGAAGACCAGCCACAAGGTTCTGAGGAACGGAAGGAAAAAGAGACCTTCCAGTAGTCCAGGACTGTTTGCTTTACTAGCCTCTTATTCCAAGCACTGGGACACATCTGCAGCCCCAGAAAGACAACTTTTGAGGACTATGGTGGGAAGCTAGGATGCCAGGCTTGTGAGGAACCCCAGGCTAAGAGCCTCTTGCACTAAGCATACCTGAGAAAGAACTAGGAAGGGTGGGAAGAGACAAAGCCTTCTGATAACATGGCATCTGGGTGAATTGGTCGTGTTTTTACGAAAACACGTGCAGTATTTAAAGCTGAGCAAAATTATAGATTATAGATTAGAGAACTAATATTTTAAACATATAGCCCCTGAAGTTAATTTCTTCCCACCCCTAAAATCTCCCTAACAGCTTCAAAGAGTAGGTGTATGGGCCCCTTGTTTTCCCAGTCCAGCTCCACAGCACACTGGCCTCTGACTGTCAATGGCAGGAGCCTGTCCTGCAGGAAGACAGCAGGACCAACTGCCCTGCCTATCCACAGGGAGAAAGCAAGGGAAGGCTTTTTTGTATTTATTTGTCACAGAATTACCTGATTCTCCCCTCTCTCCACAGTAAAGGCTGCTGGGACTTGCTTTTTCCATCTTTTCTAATATTCCTTTTAAAAAAATTTTCATTGGTGGGTGTGTGTGTGTGTGTGTGTGTGTGTGTGTGTGTGTGCACGTGCGCGCGTGTGTATTGCCGGTGGAGAGCAGAAGAGGTTTTCAGATCCTATAGAGCTGGTGTTACAAGCAGTTGCCAGCTCTCTGGTGTAGGTTCTGGGATTCAATCCCAGGTCCTCTGCCGGAAAAGATTCCTTTTACTCCAGCCTTTCAGAATTTATCTTTGAATCTGGAGATCTCTAAGGTGTCTTTTGAGTGCTGTAGACCAACCCATCACACTCACATTCCGGGCAACAAGAAGGAAGGAAGAAAGGGGGAGGATGATGCCCTCAAAATAGCACATTTAATTTTTAAGGCATATTCCTGAAACTTCACTGGCCCCTAGATGGTGTTTTCTTAATGACTATGTGGGTGCTTTGAGGTTACAAAGAAGCTTGGAAATGCCTGTGTGAGACACACTGTGACCCTTAGCAAAGCTTGTTTATCAGAGAAAAAGGAAAGGGAACATTTGAAGTCACCTCTGCCATTGTAATCTAAATCTATTGACCGACAGACGAAAATGTATAATGACCTCAGTTGGTGTAAACCCACCCGCTGATCAAGGCACTAAAGCAGGAGGATAGGAAGTTCAAGGCCAGCTTAGGTAACTTCTGGAGACTCCTGTTTTTTTTGTTTTGTTTTTGAGGTAGGGCCTCACTATGTAGAGCTTCTGTCCTAGAACTCAGTACATGGATCAGGCTGGCCTCAAACTCAGAAATCTGCCTGCCTCTACCTCAACAGTGCTGGGATTAAAGATGTAGTTTGGTTGGTTGGTTTATTTTGGTTTAATTTTGGTCTTTCTTTATTTTTCTTTATTTTGGTTTTTCAAGACATGGTTTCTCTGTGTAGCCTTGGCTGTCCTGGACTCACTTTGTAGATCAGGCTGACCTCAAATTCACAGAGATCTGCTGCCTCTGCCTCCTGAGTGCTGGGACTAAAGGTGTGTGCCACCATCACCCGGATTAAAGGTATGATTTTGAAAGGAAGGTTGAAGCTGGTATAATGGTACATACCTTACATTCTAGCACTTGGGAGGGATAGGCAGGCAGATCTCTGTGAGTTTCAGGCCAGTCTAGTCTACAAAGTGAGTGCTAAGCCAGCCAGGAATACACAGACATAAAAATGCATACACAGGTGTCTCTGAATGCCCTGGGGAGAAGTTCCTTGTTAGGATGCTACAACAAAAAACTCCTTTCTAAGTAACAGCACTATGGTGGTCAAAATGTTGTGTCATCACACATGGTGAGACATGGATAGGGGAAGGTCTCTCTGAACAAGTGTGAGCCAGAGACTGTGCTGGTGGGTAGGAGAAGGTCTTGAGGGGGACAAAAAGACACAAGTAGACAACAGCCCTCATCAAACGCCAGATCTGCTGGTTCCTTCCTCTCAGATTTGCCTGCCTCTAGAGCTGTGAAATTTCTGTTGTGTCTATATAAATTACCGAGACTCTGTTTTGTTGTATATTTAGTTTCTGTGTGTTAGGACATGGTTATATTGGTTTTGTTTTGGGGTTTTTCAGGGAGGAAGGGGTCGCCATATGTGCTACTTACTTTATGACACTGTGATAAAACACTGACCAAACACGAATTATGGAAAAAATAATTTATTATAGCTTATGGTTCCAGAAAGATAAAGGTTCATCATGGCTGAGAGGCATAGCAGCAAGTGGTGCTCATGGTAACAGGAGCAGGAAGCTGAGAGCTCACATCTGTAACCACAAATACAAGGCAGAGAGAGAGCAAACTAGATGTGGGGGAGACTATCAACCCTCAAAGGTTGTCCCCTGTGACACTCGTTTATTGTTTTTAAGAAAACCTTAATCATTCGGTTTTACCAATAGGAACTCAGGAGCCAGATGCTGGGATGAATGCCTGCTAGCTCAGAGAGGCGGAGAAAGCACCCAGCTGACATCCCAAAAAGAAATGTCCTTCCCCACAACATCTCAAAAACAAAACAAAACAAAAAACAAACAAAAAAACCAAAAACTAAATGTCCCTCCCTTCTACTTCCTGTGTGTCTCTCTATCAATGCTCCTGACTTCTCTCACTCTGTGGTTTTTTGTTTGTTTGTTTGTTTGTTTGTTTTTATGTTCAATTGGTCACTTGCTCCACCTTTAAACCTATGGTTGACTTTATTTAATCCTGTTTATAATATGCAAGCAGAAAGCTCTTAGATTAAAGGTGTGTGTTAGGGTTGAGCCATACCACAACTCTCGAAACAGGTTTTTCCAGTAAACAACACAATACTGGGGTTCAATACAGTGTGATCAAATGTCCTGCAACATTCGTCCTCCATCAAGGCTCCACACCCTAAAGGTTCAGTAACATCCCCCAAACAGTGTGCCACCATACTGAGGACCAAATGTTCAAATACCTGAGTCCATGGGGGACATTTCCATTCAAACCACAACACCACACAAACTTCACAAAGCTCCAGTTTCAAGGAGATGAATTCATCTCATATAAACTATCTCCCCATCTTTCCCACTCTCCTGTGTTTTGTCCCTCTTCCCCTCCCTGGTCCTCTTCTTCTTTCTATCTGTGACACAGAGGAATCAATCCTCATCTGAAATGCATCAAGAGCAAGGGGCTACCACTATCCTCACAGCCTCCGTGTGCTAGGGCAGCAGCATGGACCTCCTAGGCATTCAGGGAACATTCGCTTATTAATTCTGTTGAATTGACTACGTGCTGCTATGTCCATATATGATTTTGTATATTTTTAGTTTAGGATTATGATTGTTCTACTTGCATGTATGTCTGTGCACTGTCTGTATGCAGTGTCCATGGAAGCTAGATGTCAGATCTCCTGGAGCTGGAATTACAGATTATTATGAGGTGCTATGTGGGTGCTGGGGATCCAGTTCTGGCCCTCTGCAAAAGCAGCTGGTTGCCCTTAGCCAATAAGCCATCTCTCCAGCCTTGTATCTTGTTTTTCATTTGTTTGTTTGTTTGTTGTTTCTTTTTTATTTTGTTTGTTTGTTTCTGAGACAGGTTTCTCTGTGTAGCCCTGGCTGTCCTGGAACTCACTCTGTAGACCAGGCTGGCCTCAAACTCAGAGATCTGCCTGCCTCTGCCTCCCAAGTACTGGGATTACAGGCATGTGCCACCACCACCTGGCACACTCTTCTTTCATGAGTCAAAATAGCATAAAATCCCATTCCCCTGAGAAAACCACTGTTCTATTTTGGATGAGAAAGACCCTGCAAAGGCCGGTGTTCTAGGATGCTTGATTCTCAGCTGATGGTACTGTTGCTGTTTTTCTGACTGTGTCACATTTAGGAAGTGGTGTGTCAGTGGAGGAAGTGGACTGCTGGAACTGTTGGGGGGAGTAGGTGGGCCTTGAGTTTGATAACCTCATCCTATTCCTGTCAGTCTGTGCTTCCTGATCTGTCCAGTTATCAGCAGGCTCCCTCCTCCATGCCTCCCCCTTGCTGCCGTGTTCCCCCCAACCCCCTACCATACCTCTCCCATTTGCCATGCCACTTTCCTGGTCATCATAGGTACCTCCATCTTTCATGTTGCTTGTTTAAGTATTATTAGCACACTGACCACATCACAGTGACTGACCAGAACTCTCTTGGCGTATTCAAGTTTTCCAGATCTTAGAACAGGTTCCCAGTAATCACATGTTCACAGGGTGATGAATGTGTGGACATTGTTTCAGGCTCCGATCTGTGTCAGTCTGTCCCCTGACAGCCCTCAGCTGTAGGTTC